AGTGAATAGGTGTCATTTCTTCTAAGCACACAAACAATGCACATTTTAAGTAATCTGCATGAGCGTGTGTGAAACAAATAAACAGCACAGAAAATATGAGTGGTATGCTGCTGTTTGCTTTATCTGCAGAAGACGCCATGAGTGCCTAGTAAACGTTGTAAAAATAAGTTCCCTTTATCTGGTCATAAGCCGATAAAATTTACCGGGCGTTGCTTGAGGTGCATTCATCAATGATCTACGGGCTCACTTTAGCGAAAGCACTTAGCAATAAGGGGCTTACAAAAACAGTTTTTAGTTCAAACTTCGTGCTATTACCAAGAAAATGGCGTTACTTGTGCAGCGGAGATTGTGTGTTGGTTTTATTTATTGTTTTGCTGGAAGTGTTACCTCTTCACACAGAAGGGGCTAAGCCCCATGAGCAGCAGATGAGCTGTCATTTTATGAACATATGGGCTTCTGTGCAAATTTCGCTATTAGTTGCATTTACTTTGCGTACGGTGCGCACAGAGGTAGGTCGCTTAATTTATGAGAGAATAACCTCAAAATAATTTGGACCCAAGACATTCGTACGAGAAATAAAAAGCATCATGCAGACTTTGATAGCTTATGATGTTTGATTGACAGGCCTCCGAGTCTAAATCCGATTTCACTCAGCAAATATTTTGTAAGAATATTTTGACATTGGGTGGCCACCTTCGTTAGCGATGCGCCCAGCATCAGGGTTGGTCGAAATTTAGTCTTAGGAGCTGGTCCAGCAAAATAGGTTTTTTTCCGAGTTTGGTCCTGATGTTCATTACCGTAGTTCTTTGCCGCATCCCAGGGGGGAGCAGAAAACTGGACTGGATAGTTAAACACAATGATGTAGTACGTATACGTGCAGTTTTCTGGCACAAGACTCGCGAGATGTCCTAATCACGGGCTGCAGACAGCGTCGTTTCATCGCATTGAACCGCACCCTGGTGGGGTGCGAAGAATGACTCATGCACGCTGGAACAGTTGGCATTCTTCAGTGCTGAAGTCACAGTAGGCCTTAGTGACGTCTGTGGTCGCGCTTGTTGAAACATAGCTAAGAAAATAATTATTAGTTGTAAAACAGGAACTCAGACAAAAAAAAAAAGGACATGGAGAATCCCTCATTCGTAACACTATTTCGATGCTTCACTTAATAAATCCTCACGCATGGGCAGTGCTACAATGAAATGTCCTAAAAGATATGAACAACGCGGAATCACATCCTATTAGCTAGAAGAGCACACTCGTTTTCTAAAAGAGACAATGAGGAAACGCTGCATTGGTCTTCGAAGTTCATTATGCACATAGCATCTTCTAGTTCCCGAGCACTTTGTTTTGCTTTCTCCGTGAAAACTGCATGTTACGCAGCAAAGGCTCTCACATTCACTTGCAATGATACGCCTTTTCGCTGATGGGATGTGATTAAGCGTAATTCGTGTCTTGAAGGCTCATTTGTTGTAGTATTGTGCACATGCATGAGTGTTTATGAAACCAAGCATCGAAATAATATATAATTCATTTGCTAGTGTGTGCTTGTTTCTGTCTTTTATTTCATCCGGGTTGCTGCTTTGCACCCAAGAATTACTTTCCCAGTTGCACTTAACACCAGCAACGGCAACCACGTATGGTTGCCGTTGATATTGCCTTCAACGTTGCGGCGTTGGAAAAGCCTCTGGGCAGCTCTTGTGCCACATACAGCAATGTATGCCAGCAGCAAGGTATTGGGAAAGCACACACTCAAGTCCCAGTAACCCACCATCAATGTGTTTATGTTGTTTCATCAGCGCGCCAAAATACACATGTGAAACAGCAGGTCAACAAAAACAAAGCATGCGGTCATTCCATACAAGCAGAAGTCGACCCACGCAATCGAGAAAGTTGGGGACATGTTTGGTGTCAAGGTCGCGTTTTCTGCAAAAAATAAACTTGGCAGTATGTGCCCAATCGTTAACCAGAACTCACGACTTAAGAAGTATCGTAAATTAAAGCATGAACAAATGCCCCAGTACCAAGTTGTCCAGTGATATGATATAGATACATTGAACCACTGGGACGTTGTATTAATAATGTACTAAGAGAACGCAATGCCCCTTTCAAGATTGTGGCCAACACTAATCTTGTGATGTGAGTGCTTCCCAGTGGTCACAAACACTAAGATCATTGAAAAGAATTCCCATAAAATTAACAGAAATGTAGTAGAAGCGCATAATATCGTTAAAGAAAAAGAAGACCATCAGCGAAACTTCAGTGGATATGCCTGATAACAAAATTAATTTGCTCCAGCAATTGTTTCCACGTTCTTACGCAGACAAGACAGCGGCAGGAATCCGCCCCGCCACGGTGGCCTAGAGATTAAGGTACTCGGGTGCCGACCCGCAGGTCGCGGGATTGAATCCCGGCTGCATTTCCGATGGAGGCGGGAATGTTGTAGACCCGTGGGCTCATATTTGGGGGCAGGTTAAAGAGCCCCAGGTGGTAAAAATATCCGGAGCCCTCCACTGCGGCGTCTCTCTTATACATATGGCGGATTTCGGAAGTTAAACCCAACATATCAATCAATCAGTGGTAACAACCCATGTCATATGTTCCGGCGTTTTTTTATGTTTGTCAGTATGATTCAATAAATTATTCAGTCGTGAGTCAGTGCTTGTTGTGTGTGTCATCCTTTCTCCTTTCAGTCCAGACGTTTTGTTTCGCGCAGTTACATCGAAGTATAATTATCGTTGTTGCAGCTCATCCCACTCCCTCCTCCCCTTCAAAGTTTCGTACACGTATGTAAAAAAAAGTGTCTTCGACAACACCACACTTACGCGATTCTTAAGAGAGAAAAAAAGATAAAAGTGAGCCCCCTAAGTGTCTGCATCATAGTGCGACACCTCAACAGTAACTCACGAGGAAGGGGGTAAGGAGGGATTAAAAGGTATAGAGATAGAGAGAGGGGGAAGGAGAGAGCGAGGTGCAGGAACAGCGACACCCAGAAGCAAGGAGAAGATAGGAAAGATGGACGCGGTCGCAAGAGTCCGAGGACGAGGCACCACTCAGCTAGAGCTCTTGTGGGCGTCAGGAGATGGTGTAGGGCGAGCAAGTCGGCCAGAGCAGCGCTGTCTTCGGAGATCGTGGGGGCACAACCGGTCGGCACGAAATCCAGAGACCGAGTCTGAACCCACATTTCTCCAGTAAACTGATTCACGCGATGGTATTTCGTTTCGTAGAACGGCACCATGACAGCGGTGGTCAAGAAAGCAAGCTTATTGCGAAAGGTTGGGCTTAAGTGTGGTGAAGTCTTTTGAACATTCATCCTGGCGTGGAGGTTGCAGTGCCCTGATATGTGAAGAATTTCGTCAATACCTTTAGAAATTAGGGAAAACACTCATTTATGGGACACAGGAGCCTCAAGATCAAATAACAGCCGACATAAGTGCTTGATAAGGGCGTGGCTCTAACCCCAGGAGTTCGCAGATTTCTACATTAGGGGAGCTAAGTTTCACCCCAGCGTACACTTTACCCTTCTCCACCTTTCGTGATGGTAGAGCTCAAAAGCAAACAAGATCTGAAATGATGACGGGCTTGTCTAAATGGCCTGTGATGGGTCCCCAGCTTTCCGGGGTAAAAGTGGGGAGTAAACAGCTCTTGGAATGCAACATCGGGGCTACTCGGCAGCCTTGATAACGAAAAGGCATGCGTAACCCTGCACATTACCAATGGCGTAACCGGCCTGAGGGAGCAAAGATATGAGGAGGAATGGGCACCCATTAGATCATTAGAGGAGAATTCGGCCGCATCCAAGAAGGCTGGTCGCTTCCTCCCTAATTCTGAACCACAACTTCGGAATCATTATAGATTCGAACTAGACCCAGTGCCTCGTTTCCAATTCATGATCCGAAAGAGCAGCTAAAATGTCACATAAGAGAATCACTGTCTATCAAAACGCGAACACACATTAAAGAATTGGCCAACTAACGTAACCACAATGTCTTCATCATGGAGTATCGATTTGTACGTCATGCTCGAAAATAGCCACGCGAAGCGGCGCGTTATTCGTAGGTCACAGGTCCGGTCCCTGCCACTGGAAAGTAATCATTTTGGCCACATTTCTTTCTTCAAATTTACATTACGATTGCTTCTAATAACTTTCTGTCGCGTTGCCCAATATTTCTGATTCATTATTTCGTATAACAAAGTAAACGTGCCTTGAAATTTACACTGCTTTCCTTCGCCTAAAGATATGAGGTTTTTTTAGAAATAACCTTAGAGCTACAACTTCGAGGATCAACTGAGGCTCGTCGTGACAACCCAGGATGTGGCCCGAGCTCAGAGTCTGAACTAAGAGCGCAGGTGCGCAGTTATACACTCAAATACGTCCATTGTGTCCGTCTTATTGATGGGGAAGGTGAATATCGCAACATGAATTTTCGGTGGTCCTAAACAAGGTTGAAAATTGATTACAGCTTAGACTTGGATTCACTGCATACTGTGCCCTGTCCTGTATACGTATCTTCCTCTTCCCATCCATGATATTAGCTAGCTAGTAGCTCAACTCCACTGCCCCCCCCCCCCCCGGCTTTCAGGCCACCTAACCTTCTTCCATTCTTCATGGAATCCAAACTTCAGCAGCCCTGCCCAACAAAATGATGTCACATTTTGTGACACTTCAGTATTGGTACCACATTTTGATCAGTACATTATATTGTTATTCAGCTTGTGTACGATTTGCCGATTTAATATTTCAGATGACGAAATGAAGGTATAGTTTTGCGGAGAAGCGAGGTGTTAAGCGAAACAAACCGGGAATCGCATAGTTCAAGCGCTCTTTTAAATGTGAATGCCAAGAGAGGCGTCGGCGCAGCCGAAATGAACAATTTAAAGTTTTCACTGAAGGACGCTGTGTTCACGCAACTTCTGCTGCGCTACGACTCCGCGATACAGTATATTTCATGGAGCAAATGAGGAGCCTGAAACAGCTCTTGTGTTCGATTATTCTAACGCAGCTAACCCCTGGGCAACATGAGCTACGGATATCCGCAGGCGCAACACCAGTACCAACCCCCGCCACCTCCAGGATTTGGGCCTCCGCAACAGGGGCCGCCCCCAGGCTACCCCGGCTATCCGCCACCGCAGCCCGTAGCGGAGCCCTACTTCGCAGCATCGGCGCCAGTCAGCGACACATACCAACCACCTCCGGCACCCGTCCCTCAGCACTTGTATCCGGTGCAGCCGCAGCCTGGAGGCTACTACGTGCCGCCGGCGCCTCCAGCAACCGTGTACGTGTTTGCCTAACAGCAAATGGGATGCATACGAATGGTGTTTACGGGACAGGCAGCAAGGATATCACATGGCGATGAATACGTGCGTCACTTCTGAAAGGCACTGATAATTAGATGGGCCTTTTCCGGGTAGGCAGTATACGCATGCGCGCCGGCCTTGAGGAGGCACGCGCCATGATTTTTGGTGGCCAAAACCATAGGGAGCTCTGGCACTAGTGTATATTGGAGCTGCTACGCACGACGCTTCAGCGAACATGGAAATGATGGGTAGTACACAGATTTGTCTAATCTTCGTACTTCTGGCCTGATTTTGGCTTCGTGTATGTTCGTGTGGCTTGGGGCTGTTTTCTCATGAAACAAAAATCAACAAATTTCAGTGGTTGCGCTTCACCACTTCATTCTTTTGGGCTTATCATTTCGAATGGGGTCATGAAAGTGAAAACAATTCGTTCTTTCTTTCAAAACAAAATCCGAATTAGCAACAAACGAAGCCACAAGTGCCATTCGCCGCCCAGAAGTACGAAGACTAGGCAAGTCTCTGTACTACCCTTCATTCACATGGTCGCTGAACGATCGCAGCGCTAGAGCCCCTATAGTAGAGTGGCTAGAATGGGGAGGTGTGATGAATAGCCTCCGAAGGCTGGCCCAAAACGACGTTCCTGCCACGCAATGGCGTTGTCAGTGGGGGCGCCGTACTTTTCTCGCGTCGACTGCTTGCCTCTGGGCAGTCAAGGGATTCGAGTACGCGTATTGAACGCTGGAGCGCTTTCGATGCTGATGGGCTTATTTTTTAGTATTGTATACTTAGAGAAACTACGAAAAGCGTGTGATGTGAAAAGCAGTTTAGAAGAATGGCTCCCGCAGACTGGCGTGATGGAACAACCGTGCGTGTGTCGCTCACAGATCAGTTATAGTGTTTAGATTGTTACAGTAATTCAAAGAGTTGAAGTCAATGCAGTTTTTCTGAAATGCAGAAAAAGCATGTCTGAAAACAGAATACTGGTGGTTTGATAGATGTTTATTGGAAACAGTACGAGAAAACATTCCCCACCTTCTTTGCTTTATTCTGCGTAGCATGCTGGTTGAGCCCTCTAAGCAGAAAATGAACACGCGTGATTCTTTAGTCTGGCTCTTACAGCTCTGCTGCTCACGAGGCGTGTCTCCCACCGGGCTGTCAAACACGCCAACGTGTTAAATTAAAGAAACCTCCACTTTTATACTGGCTTAAACATTTTAGAATTACATATGTTCCTTGGCTCAAAATGCCTTTCCCAAACTGCAGAATTCTCCTGCAATGACTTGTCGGCCGTTGGTACGACACGTGCCCACTTTTCTAAATAATCCTTGTGGGCAGAGTCGTTGTGTGTATCGCGGTGTTATTTACCATCAATACACGTGGCGTGTATTGATGGCTTTGTTTACCAAAACACTGCCGCGATGTCTGTCTTCATGTGACAGAAAAAAAAAAAAACTGCTCGACAGCGTCGATGATTCCGACAACGGCGATCTGTACAGTAACAAAGGAGGTGTTGACGAGGTTTGTATTTGAATTGGTCGCCGGATCGTTGTACGTGAAAATGTCAGTCATGTTCCCGGATACAGGAACGCTATATGAGCATATGATTTCAAGAGACTCTTCATGCAGACTGTCTAGAACGATGATTTAGGGGTTTAGTATTCAATCCCGTTTGGTCGGCCTTCTATTTAGGTGCGTGCGAGGCCATAGAGCAAGGAAAAAAATAAAAAGAATTCGGTGATTCTTTGACTGACAGAGCCACATAAGACACATACTCAAGCTCCCTTGAGTACATGTTTTAACTTAACAGTCTTTTTGAAGGCTTCCTATCGCATCGGCTTCAAGCTTTCGTGAAGACGAAGTGAGCGCACAGCTGGCGCCTCTAGCATATCTTTATTATTTAGCCTTTTTCTTCTTTTTCACAATTCTTACTGCAGTCAACCACGTTGGATTTTTGTGCTTATGTGACACACATGTAAAAAAACATGCCGATAAGACACCAGTGCACCAGCGCCAGTGCAGCCAAATAGAAGATACCTTATTTTAACGCAGGACTTGTAGCCGCCGTCGCAACCTGGCACAAAACACTACCTCTGCGTTTTTTTCTTCCCCGTTCGCCGGCATTCTTCAGAGTGGTTGAAAAATAGACAACATCCGCTGACACCATCTCTTTCAAGGAATCGGGAAGTGATAGAAAAACAGGCCGCACTTCCCTGAAAGCAACCGCTAACTGGCGCTGCTCTGTATGAGACACGAGAAACGTATGCTCATAGTGGAGACATGATGCCGACGGCGCCCCTGACTGACGCGTCAAATTTCTCTCCTGCTGCGAGAACGCGCAGTGGGGCCTTGCTAGGCAGTGAGAGCGCCGCCGCGGACATCAAACCTCTCTATTCTAGCCACCCTACCTCTAGTTAATTTTAGGAAACTCTACGTACAAAACGTGACGATGGATGAATGCATGCTATGAGCGTCTTTATAACGGGGCGGGGACATGTGTGCCACCAGGCTCGCAATAAGAAAAAAAAAACGAAAAGAAATCTGTCTTTTTATGTTGGCCTAATGCCTCAGCTACTTCGAATAAATCGATCTTATTATAACAAAGAAAAATATAAATTTGTGTTTCATCTCTCTGCCTCTTCAGGCAAAATGACCTCATTTCCCCACCATTTCTCTCCTTTATCTCTACGACACCTGCGGACCAAGCGACATCTGGTGCCACAGTCAAATGTTTGCCCCAAAGAGAGGCGCGAACGCAGACCTCCGAGATGGCCTACCAGAATTCGGTGGACAATTTTGGAGTCCAAGAGCCCCTAGTTTAGATTTCGGCGATCTCCACTTGGCGTGCTGTTCAGACAAGGAAAAGACCCATTAAATAGACAGTCACTTTAAGCGAACCTTTCATCAATGAACGATTGTTGGGGCTTAACATCCAAAAAGCACACTATACTTATGAGGGATGGCGTAGTGGAGGACTCCGGAATTATAGACAACCTGGGGTTCTTTAAAGTGCACCCACATCCAAGTACACAGACCTCAAGTATTTTCGCTTCCATCGAAAATGCTAACCCAACCATTGACCTCATTCTCTAAGTTCAAGTAGGTGTCACCTCACACATTGCGACAATTTAGCTCGAAAGATGATTCACCTGTTTAAGTAACCCATGGCTGGATGGGCATTCCTTAAGCAGTCCTCGAGTTCTACGCCGCCTGAAGAAGCTGACATCATATCTGTGGTTTGTTATTTTCGAAGAAAGCTTTTGAAACTTTTCTTTTGAACGTGGTACCATTAAGGAGCTCCTTTCATAGAAATTTCAGTGTCAGTGTCGTTGGTTGAGAGCGAAAAAGTAATCTTATTCTTTACCAAAGAATCAAGAAAGACGCAAATAAAAACAAATACAAAACTTCAAACTAAGAGAGTATCAAATATAGGCCGTTATACAACAAAACTAATGTTTTAAAATCGAACCACGCTATTGGTTGAAACTGCTAAAAAATAAAGAAAACACTATATGAAAGTCACGTAATTGAAGAAGTCTCCTTAACGCACCTAATATTGCGGGACAGAGGCCCGCAGTTGCGCCAGGCGTCAAAACACGTGAATTACATAATGAGCAAGTGCTCTAAACGGCAACCCATCATAGAGCACTAAGACATATTTATTCATCACCATCATTAGCAGCAAAAGTTTGAACAAAGGGATCAGCGGTGTAGGCTGATTTGCTGCCTGATACGGACGCGTAGTCGGCCTTTCGTCGATCCGCAAAAGGAAGAATTACGGCGTAGTGGGCAGTTACCAACTGTCGTATACTCGCAGTAGACACATTCTAGGATAGCTGCATGGGAACGGCCAATGCTACGTGTACAGTGATTCGTTTCCTTACGGCATGGTTGAAGCCTGTACCGAGTGGTTGTTCTTTGAGAAAATGTTTTTGTGAATAGATTGACATTATTGAACCATTTCAATATTTACTCAGCATTCTCGCTCTCTTTGCAGGGAACTTCAAGCACACGACTATGCCCACTCTGTAAATGATTTGCGTGTCCACATTAGGATCATACCCTTATATAAAAAAGTCCTTTTGGTGCTCGATAAAATAAAAGAAAGGAATGAGGATCTCATTTTAGCAGAAAATTCAGTGACCATTACGAAAACGCCGCTTCCCATTTTTGTGTTCTTTCTTGAGCCACGCTTGGCGGGCCAGTTTGAAGATCATGGAATCTTATGAGCCATTAGTATTTTGAGCAGACATGTGCTCAAATAGTATATGTCTCCACCAGGTATTTTTTTTCTCATTACAACGCCGAATGTGCAGCACAGTTTTTAATTGTTTTGAACTGGTGTTTTAAGTAGTGACGTATTGTTTCAGGGCGATATTCATTTATGTATTACTTCCACGTAATGAATTAGTGTAAAACATTGATAAAGCAACACTGCAAAGATAAACATATAAAAACAAAAAACTACATTGAATGAAATAAAGTCAAAAGAGCATTTGACAGAACCACACGAATTTTTCCCTATGCACTTCATGTTTTAGAACCAGAAGATGTATTTGGTTTCCACAACCTTATATTTTTTAATTTTGAGAAATAATTATGGATTTCCTTTATGGCAGAACGCACGGATGAGGTTTATTTTTACTCCCGTAAATCATCCTACACTCTTCGGCCTTAATAACACGAAACCAATGCGCGGTCATTAGAGTAAACGTATTTCTTCGCTTGCATTGCGTAGGTTGGGAATTTACGACATTTTGAATTTCTGACGGGCCAAAGAACGGGGGCGGTGGCAGTTCTGGCCATGATCAAAGTTAAGGCAGATAGGGTGTGCCAAGTGATTAGAGGTGATAAATCAAAAGTGAATTAAGGTGAATTGCATATGAAATAAGATTAAAGAAAGCTTAAGCGTGCAATGAAGTCAATGACAAAACTAGGGTGGACGCTAGTCAATAAAACATAAGTGATATATTTCAATAGTTCTTAACCAATATTGTAAGTAGTGACGTGTATGTGTCACGATGATATTATTTTTGTATTGTTTTCTCTCACTGAATTGATGTGAAAGGTTGCTAAAAACTTTTCAGGGATAAAATAGTCAAAGTAATTTGTTACGAGAGTCGCACAAGACCATACATATGCTTTGCCTGTGCTGTTTGAGAGCTCGTTTTGAAGAGTTATTATAGCGTTGAAGTCGTGGGTGTTGGCTGCGAGCAAAAAATTCGTATAGATGCAAGTAGTACGCATCAGGGGCTCGAGCCGGTACGAAATCCAGGTCTTCGGCGCTTCGTACGATGAGTCACATTAAAGGAATTAACGTTTCGCGGCAGAATTCTACAATCGCACCTGGCGCCACACCATTTTATGCGCGCAACGTTTGGGCGATGTAAAGTCCGGCCCATTTTAAAGCGCTCAGCAATACTTGGCAAAACGAAGAGATATAATGTAGTGGGCATTTCATGATTTTACTTGCCGTAGGCATTCTAGAAAACGTTAAAACTGGCAGTGTTATGCAGACAGACGCTCCTTTCCACGCGGTGTGGTCGAGACGTCTACCGAGAAGCGAAGCATGGCGAGCAAACGAGAGGATGATCCGAACGGAGTCCGATTACACTGTCGCGATCCATTCTTGGAAGGGAAGCTCAAGTCTCCTCAAAGCATTTCGGAGAACTTTTTACAAGTTGCATTCTATTTCTCTTTGCAGGATTGTGAAGGAGAAAGAGGACAGTTGCGCCAAGGACTGCTGCTTGTGTGCACTGTGCATGGGTCTGTGCTGCCTGTGCTGCCAGGACTGAGCCGTAGCGAACTTCATGTGCACACGCTCTTCGTCACGGCAAGGGTTACAAAATATCGTGGCCCGGTCTTTTATATTTCGACAGGACGACGGTGCTTACCCAGCAATCGTATCTGTAATGCACGACACTTGCAGATGCATAAATAGCAAGACAGTCCACTTGAGAAAAGACAATTTCGCGAGAGAGAGTTTCAACAAACGGTGTGCTCTCTTCAAAGAGATTCAAGAAAGAGCAAGCCCCTGATTTTGGAAGCTTCTCATTAGCGGGTAACTCACGACACTGATCTGTGATAAAAAGATAAACCATTATTAAAGCGCTGGTGAAGAACCAAGAACTTTTTTTAAGTTCAAAACTTTTGTGCATACATACTGTATAACACTGCCCATTTGCAGTTTAGCATCATGTCTAATCTTGAATCAAGCAAACAAATAACTTACCAACAGAGTTCTACGTGCTTGGTTGCTCTCTCTCTTTCTCTCTCTCTCTCTCTCTCTCTCTCTCTCTCTCTCTCTCTCTATATATATATATATATATATATATATATATATATATATATATATATATATATATATATATATATATATATATATATATATATATGTGTGTGTGTGTGTGTGTGTGTGTGTGTGCGTATGCAAGGACACGGATACGTGCCACCGCCTTGTCATCTGTCTTCGACTCTGAGTAATGTAGTAAGTGATTGATCTAAAGAGAAATGCCTTTTCCTTCTTATGCGCTTGCCGCTCCCATTTTCCGATCTGTAAAGGCCCGTACCGAAGATCTATGCCCCAGAGTCTGTGGATGACGGCTAGGTGGCGGTTGCGCAGAGGAAGAGAGGAAGTGAGTGAGATTGCTTCCTTGCTGAATAATGTATCGCAGTCGAGAGTTCGTTGTTGGTGCGCTGACTGAGAAAAATCGGGTGCTTATGTTCATTATTGTTCTTGGCGCTATCGACGCCAATCGGTGTTATTTTGTCTGTAGAGTTTTCATTTTTGCAGAAATACATGAATCCTTGAAGTCTGGGATAAATTGCCCTGGAGGAATCACACAGAAGTGGCAATTAGCTCTGCACGAAGAGAATGAATCACCGCGTCATTAAACTGCGCAGTCGAAGCCCCCAGAAATAAAATGGTCCACAAAACAAATCTTTCTGTGCTCTAAGTAATTTGCAGCACCTTGGTGCATTTAGAATTAGAGGCTGACTTTTAAATGACTCGCGCTTATAGTATGAAAAAGTGCACATTAAGAAATGTCATGAAACTCATTCCTGCTCAAAAATCTGCTTATAAATGGATAGATGGATAGATGCTATGAGCGTCCCTCTTAAAACGGAGCGGTGACATGTGTGCCACCAGGCTCGCTAAAAACAGAAAAAGAAATGAAAACTTTTTTTAAATATTGGCCTAATGTCGTATCTGCTTCGAATAAATAGATCTTATGATAACAAAGAAAACTTTATATTTACGTTCCATTTCTCGGCCTCTTCAGGCAGAATGACCCCATTTTCTCGCTATTTCTGTCCTTTATTTCTACTTTTCTGCCACCAATTTTCTAACCGAGCTCAGACATGAAGGCGCCGCCTATCAACCTGTCGTGGAACTAAGCACTTGGAACTCTACGTTGCGGAACTCTTAGCTGGCGCATTTCACTTCCCAAAGTTGCTTCGCAAAAAATTAGTTTCACCGCAAGGGAGAATCCAAGAATGCGACAGCAACAAAAATTGGCAGATCCCACGTGCAGTGGGAATCGACCATACGCCAAGCATGAATGAGAAGTGTTGATATGTCACTTAAAAAGAAGTGCAATGGTACGAGGTGGAGGTAAATGATGCCGTACACGACTTCCGTATCATGATTATCATGTTTGGATGTGTCGGCTACCTTCGTCATCTATTCACGTCACGTGATACCGTTTTTTATATGTGGAGCTATAGAGAAACGGGCGCGAGCACGCTATGAGCGTTGTATGTTATGTTCTTACATGACACGCGTGTCCGGATTATCATGTTTGCACCAGTCATGTGTTTCGTCATCCATTGACGTCACGTAACATCAAATTTGTTATATGTGGGGCTAGCAAAACGGCCGCGAGCGCATCATGAAGGGCCCAATATACTCCAATGTAGCGTTGACGTGCGCGCACGCTGGGCACTGCGACACTACGTTAGCAAAACGCCAGCACTCTACAGTCTGACGCCAGGCGCGACGGCAACCGGCGCGAAACGCGACATGCTGCACTTCGCGCCCATGCCATACAGTCACATTACTCTATGCAAATGCGTTACCCAGACAACACTGCGTCTCCCTCTTTTCGTGACGGAGGGATGCCGGACGCGCTGAAACGTGCATGCGTCATTGCAACGCAGCGCTGCACGCGCCTGCGAGTATATGGCACGACCGGCGCCTGGCGTGGCAACGCCGGCGTGACGCTACGAAATGAACGCCGGTAAGCACGTGCGCCGCGTCATGTCGAAGTGTATTGGTGCCTTGACAGTGGCATGTAGACATGATCTCACGTGACACTCATCTCATGATTATTATGTTTTCACCAGTTACATACCTTCGTCATCCATTGGCGTCACGTAATACCAAAATTGGTATTCCATCACAGCGATCGGAGCTGTGACGAAAATTCACGGATTAGCTATTGCTGTGCTGTGGAGCTTTGAACTACGAAGGTCAGGAAGGTCAGCGTCGCTACAGTGACGAAAGCAGCAGCTGCCTGGTTCTGAAGGATGTCGGCGTTAGGGGCCCCGGAAGTGGCCGTCGACCTAGGGGGTGCCGACTGAGGCTGTCCGGACTTGCCGCAACCTTGCACAACAGTTCCTCGGGAGACTACAGCTCTTCCACTTCAAGCCAGAACGAATGTGGCCCACACCAGTCACCAGAGGCAGTCATCGATGAGGTCGTTGACAAGTTGGGTTTGACCAAAAAAGGTGAAGATGACGGATAAGACCGGGACACCAGCAATAAACAGAAATGGCACATTGAGGGAAAACTATACCGATGATGACTGTAGGAGCTAGAGAAGGACGTCGTCGACAAGCTCGATGAACCATCGACACGGCTAGGGCACGGAGTCGACGCGAAAACGCGACTAACTGTAATAACGTTTCGTTACCGAAACTCCATTTTGGCTGTAGAGAGATTGGGCCTAGTGATAGAATTTGACTCGAATAGAAGTTAGTTCTAGTTTCGCTGTATAGCCCGTTATTGTGTGTGTGTGTATTTTTGCGTTTTAAGGGTTTGTTCAGATTTTTGCCATTTTGTGTACTGTCTAAAAGGGTTTGCCGGGTGACCTCCCACTCGCTTTTCTTTCTCAACTGCATCTATCACAAGCGTTCACGAGAGAAATTCGTGACATTAATTGGCAAGCCTGTGCCAGGATTTTTCCCTTGTGTGGCCTTGTGTGGCATTTTATCGTCGTGGGTTACAAGGATAGATTGAGAGAAGATACTGAGAGTCATTAGGAAGCGAAAGCTCAATGAGGATGAGGGATTAAAGTTCACTGAATAGAAAAAAAAACGGCTTAAACAGGAGGTCGAGGCAAAACGCGCTGAACAAGGGAAAACGCGCTCAACTAGAAGCAAAGCATGCATTAACGCTTGAAGCTTATGCACGAGAAAAACAGGAACTTTAGCGCCAACTGCGATTGGCACAAGCGAAAGGGTGCATTATAGACGGGAGGAGATAAACCCCGCAGAAGGTAAATAGACAGAAGTATGGGCACCCGATGTAAACAGTTCCGATTCCGAGGAGCTGAAAGGCGTTGAACATGCATGCGTGTTGTGCAAATGAGACGAGGTTTGTAAGCAATGAACTGAAGGGAACGAGCTCAGACGCTGCAGATAATAGTAGAAAGGCAGCAGATGCCACTGTTGTTAACGAGGGCACGGAGAGAAAGCGACGCCTACAGTTAACAAAGAGGGAGGGCATAGCGCTTCGTTGATGAGCCCGTATATTGAATAAAGAAGCATGTCGAAATTGCGAGAGAACACGAGAGAGGAGAGAGTACGACAAAAAGAGTGCCTCAACCGCGCATAGTTGAATGCGAAAAATCAGAGGAGACGCAGAAAGCTCCAAAGGTACTGAAACGTCGAGGCAGTTACCAGGACGCTAAAAAAGTGGCTGATAGACGCACAAGATCAAAAGAAAAAAATGCTGCGAGAACGGCTAAAGTAAGTTTGACGTATTTGAAAACAGAGAAGGTTGTGAAGAATAGGACGCAACCTGAAAAAGTTGGTTTGAACATGTGTCGAATAAACATAAACAGTGGGAGGAGCTGTAGTGAGCGTACGAGATGGTTGGTAGGAAGTACGCACAGGAGAGAGTTGAAAAGGGCACGGAATGTGATGAAGCACTGATTTCAGCCGGTTGTCTTCAATTGGTAAAGGTTTTTGTGCAAAATAGATTCTTAACAGCAGATTACATTACGAGTGACTTGATAAGTCACCTTAAGCTGAGTTGAGCTCATTAAATATAGTAGATATTTTGTGCGGGTATTGCAAATTGTACAGATTTTTTGGGTATCTTGAGTGTTCAGTATAGTGCGCAATTATTCTTTTCAGTGTATAGCCGTATAGTGTTAGATAAAAAACGGGTGGACCTGTGAACGGTCGAGTGTAGTGTTTTATGCATGTTGGTGAAAGTGTTTGACGGTGCTGTGCTGTGCCAAGTGAATATCAGTGAAAATGTGTGGCGATGAAAGGTGGCGCGCCAACCCGAGCTCTTTTGGCCAAAAGTCCGAAGAAGACGAGGCCGAAATCACAGGAAGGAAGAACAAGATCAGTTCTTTTAGAAGAAACTCTTAAACATGGGGGGTGGCAATATCATGAGTAAGAGGGCACAGGACACGTGCTGGGCGCTGGAATACGGCGAACGTGCGCGAGACCCCGACGGTGGGAAGAGTCGCCACAGTCACGTACGAGATTGGTCGGAAAAAGGCTCGCGGCACGTGACCAGAGCTGTGATGGAAAATCACGGAGGCTGAGCTGCCACTGTACTGTGGAGCTTTGAACTGCGAAGGTCAAGAAGGTCAGCGTCGCTACAGCGACGAACGCAGTAGCTGCCTGGTTCTGAAGTATGTCGGTGTAAGAAGCCCGGGAAGTGGCCGTCGACCTCGGAGGTACAGAGTTAGGCTGCCCGGGCTTGCCGCAAGCTCGCACAGCAGTTCCTCGGTGGACTACAGCTCTTCTACTTCGAGCCAGAACGAATGCGACTCACACCAGTCATCAAAGGGAGCCATCAATTAGGCCATTGACGAGTTGGTTTTGACCAAGCAGGCAAAAGATGATGGATAAGACCGGGACACCGGAAATGAACACAAACGGCACACTGGGCGGAAACTACACCCTTATAACCGCGTATCCTTTATGTACAACTTTACCAAAATTTATCTTTAAGCCTATAAGTTACATGAGTCGACTTTTATTTGCTTTTTGCCT